ACTGGATATCTGCCAATCAGAAGTGGTCTATCGACTTCTCACGACCTTAAAGAAGACTTACATTGCTTTACAACAGCAGTTAAGGATATTTATTTCGCAAATCCACTTATAGTCTACAATTTCTTCCTTACAAACTTATTTATCAGTCTTAACATTAGTCAGCGTGTTGAACAGGCAACAAACCATAACCGAGAGCAAATAACACGCTGTAATAAATATGTACAGAATATGCACTGGAGATTTTAAATGATAACTCCTCGATAAATGTACTATGTATTCAATAATGCTAAGCAACACTGCCTCATGTTTAACTCACTCACGTTTGCTAAAGATTTCTTATAGCGGCGCGAACTTTTACCTGCCTCGTTTTTAAATGTCTACCGTTTAAAAAGCTAAGTTGGATTGCATTTGCTTCAAGCGAAAATTATTACTGCCGCACTAATAAGCATTTCGAACAAAAAATTTTCAGACGCTTTTTTTCTTCATTTCGGAGAAAGGCCGCAGATCTCAAAGCGACACTGCGCTCGTAAAAGAATTTTGAAATTAACTTGGGAATCACTAACTTTTGAATGAGCTAATTTGAAGAATGCTTATTTCAAGTTACAAGTTTCGAGATTAAATAATGTTGAACTAACATTTCCATGTGAATTTATAGCATGATACTACGACTCAACTCTGTGACTCTGTTGTAGCAGTTAGAAGTTTGTTACAGTTTAAAAGAAAACAACCGAGGTCGTGTGAAATTTTCTTATTCCAGAACCCGGATCACATGAGTGCTAAAAAGAAGTGACGAGAGTTTGACCCCGTTATATCGTTGTTACACCTTGTCTGAAAGGGAGCTGGTGTCAGCTCTCGCATACACTAATCACCTCACTAGAAAACTCTCGTTTACCTCTCATCAACTTGACTTTAGATCCGATCATCAAAACCTCAGAAGGCGTCAGTTCTTGTCAAGCTGTTTTCCGCAACAAATCGCGTTCGAAGGTTTTTTTCGTTCTGTCATCAGCACGGCGTGGTGTTGTAAAGTCAAGTGAAATTAAGGGCTTCAATCACACCAACAGCAATACAGAGGAACACCAGATATAGACCGAGGTTCACGCCAGCGTCAGCCGAGTTGCAAGCGTCATCGTGGCAGCAGGAGACGGTACAATCGTAGGAGTCCTTTGCAATCTTTTCTTCATCGCACACCTTCTCCATTTCATCGCACAGTCGTTCATCTGCGCACAGGCTTTGCACAAGTCTCATGCGATCATTAATTTTCTGCCAAATCCTCATACAGCGGTCTCCAACTCCATGGCAGTCTTTTAAGTATTTGTGGTGGTTCGCTTTTAAAGTGGCCTTGGTACACTGGCTTTCATAGCCCTTGCAGTTGTAACACGAGATATTATGTCCTAAATGACTTCTTCCTGTTGGCAAAGAAATGCAAGTAAGCGTCATTGCTATTTCCCCGGAAAATGTTGATTTTAGGTCTTCTGAAACATGGCTGGAAATGGTAGTGGTGATCAGTTACTCAACTTGAAAAATCGCTGACTATTCCCCCTAAAACTAACCCTAACAGGGTCTGAGAGGTATGAAGCCCGGTAAGTGTACGGAGCCCGGTGAATGCCAGCATAATTCTTCTTTCTTTTTGTAGCGTTTGGTCGACTATGTTGCCAAGTTTTTAGTCGACTTTTGTGTCGACTTTTTTGGCGAGTTTTTAGTCGACTTTTTTGACGAGTGTTTTTGTCGAATTTTTCATAATGAGTTTTCCTAACGCGTAGGTTGATAGCATGAAATAATCCTAGAAACAACAAAATCTCTGACTACTCCAAGCCAAGATGAAAATAGCGTTCAATGATATCATTATGTCTACCACAGTAATCTTGCAATGGGAATATAGTCTGGAAGCCGAACACCCGCACATGTCGATGTTATCAAAGTAACTGTAAAAAGCGCAAAAAAAAAAAAAAACACACGGCCATGCTGGCCAGCATCTGAAAGAGCTAGCCCAACACGAATGCATGCATGCATGTAAAACAGTTGACAGAAATGGTTTCATGAACAATTTAGGGTGCGTTCCTTTGGGGTGATCTGGATCAGGATCAGTGATCCAAGATCCCTCAGATCATGGTGCATCAAAGCATAGTTAGTGGAGGGGTCTTCTCTACTAACTATGATCAAAGGAAGCGATGAATCCACTCTGGTCACGGATTCATCGGTTCCTTTGATGTACCATGATCCGGAGTGATCTTGGATCACTGATTCTGATCCAGATCACCCCGAAGGAACGCACCCTTACTCTTTTATTTTAATCAGGAATAAGTCAAAAAAAGGTCGAAAGTAAAGTTTACTCAAAACTCGACACAGAACTGAAGTAGACAGAAACCTCGATACAAAACTCATCAAAAAATGCAACACAGAAGTCGACAAAAACACTCGTGAAAAACTCAACAGAAAACTCGCCAAAAAAAATGTTCTCCAAAAAGTCGCCAAAAGCCCACCAAAAACTTGACTGAAAGCTCGAAAAAAGAGTAATAACCATGGCACTTACCGGACTCCGTAGTTAACAAATTCTTCGCTACTTTTCGCACAAAGATTTCCCTTTTTTACCGAACATTGAACTCTAGTAAAGAGGGTTCTAGCGAGTTTTAACATGAAAATTGTATTGTCACAAGCGCGACCGGCAGTTCAATCACTCAAACGCGAACGATCCAAATCGGTTGTCTCGCCTGATCGCCTGATTACAGATGAACGACCGTGTTAAACAGGAGGGACGTTATTTTAAAAACAATGCAAAGAGATGACGAATATATATATATATACACCTGAGTGACAAAACGTTGTCCGAACAAAAGTGTGAACTACAAACGAAAGCTTGATAGAAAGATCACAAACAAAGGAAATTGAATACCATGTTTATTCATTTCTTTTGTTTGTGTCCTCTAGGCCTCATTATCAAGCTGAATGTGGCCTATTACGGAAAGACTGAAAAAGCGTGTACGTGATCATGAATATTCAAGACTGTTTCCTCGTCGCATTTAATTATCCTGTGTTATCACAGGTCAGCTGCGTAAAGTGGTGAGTTACTACGCCTGAGAGATTAGATAGTGTAGCTTTATTTCTCAAGTTAGGCATTCCGTCCACACTAATCCGGACCAAAAACGGAGCTTTTCCAAAACGCTCTTCAAACCGTGGGAATTTGAAAACGCTGGGTTTGCGGTTTAGCGTGGGCGGAAAACATTTTAAAAAGGAAGGTTTTCGAAAAACGATAACGTCACGATATTAATCATGTGATTAAGTGTTAAAAGGCGCACTCAAGCTTTTCTGCTGTCGGTGATTACTGGGTTTTTAATTTTTTTTGGACGGGGCCTCAGAAAAACATGGGAACTACCCATGCCTTCCCAGAGGTAGCTAGGTTAGAAAACAAAAGAACGTTTGAACGCTGAGAGCTTCGAGATATGCTCAAGTTTGCAACAGTTAGTGAACACGAACTATAAAGAATAGATCAAGTCAGGCCCAGTTCAGACGTCGTGCTTCTGCCGTGCCGAACTAAATTCAGGAATTAAGTTCGACAAAAGCACGGCAGAAGCACGGCGTCTGAATCAAACTTTTGAATTAAGTTCGGCAAGCAATTAAGTTCGACAAGCTCTGCCGTGCTACACGACTCTGGCACGGCAGCGATTCAAACGTCGTGCTTCTGTCGCGCCAAACTAAATTCATAAATTATGTCAATGTGTTTTGGCGAGATTTCGTTCCCTCGGGGAGTTAGGAGGAGAATTGTCATGAGGCTTCAGTAAACCCTGGATTTGATTCGACTCTGGCACGACGTCTGAATCAGAGTTGATTTCCTGCCGTGCTACAGTCGAACCAAATTGCAATTTAGTTCGGCACGGCAGAAGCACGACGTCTGAACTGGGCCTCAGCGACAGACTGTTCATTTAGAGTGAAAAGTAACTTCGATTGTCATACCAATTACTTCACGTCAGCTGGGCATACGTATTCACTCAGTCTACCGGCCCAAGGGATTGAAAGCGTCAGCGAAAATTAATCGAGTCACTAATTTAACTTAACATGATAGCACGATTTATGTTACCATTAGCGAAACCCCACAATTTTGTAAATTTTTACCATCCCTGTTTTGAGTCTAATTACAGCTGTGCCAAATCGACCGTAGCGTCACTTAAGTAACCAGTCCGTCGGCTTGTCAGCATTATTTTCTAAACTCTCTCGAACCATGCACTGGATGTAGCTCTCCATGCAAAGGAATAACAATTATTTAGACTTTTTCGGTAAATTATGAAGAGTAGACAAGACAGAGGTTGTACCTTGGGACAAAACGAAAACCTACAACCGATGGTTTCAGGATGTGGTTTCTGTGGTCTGAAGACATCGTTCTTCATTGGTTATAACAAAATAAGCATGCCAGACATATTTTAGATCTTCACGGTTTTATAAGCTTGACGGGGTAAAATGGTGCGAAGCATTTGAATTTAGTCTTCTTGTTCAACAGGAAACTCGGAAATGTTTCTTACATACTTTTAAAATAGAGGGAAATGGTTAGGAAACCTGGCAAAGTTCTTTGTTGTATGTTTCTGTGTGCTTCTTTGGGGGTTGACCCTGCACAACAAAAGGTGGTTATGTGCGCTTATACAACTAACCAGTAGAAGCATTGTGATTATGTAATACATGCATAGTCTGTGAACATAAAACAAAGGATGTGCAGGGTCAAAGTCCTTCCAACATAAATCTTGGCCTGTTTGTTTGCTTCTTTGATGTCTACCAGCTTTCCTAACCATTTCCCTCTATTAACTCTAGTTTCTATGGGGTGCCATTTCCGCCAAAATTATTGTTTTATTATTATTAGGCACAATGTTTTATTATTAGGCACCAGTTAATTATTATTAGGCACAATGTTTTATTATTAGGCACCAGTTTATTATTATTAGGCACAATGTTTTATTATTAGGCACAATCTCTTATTATTAGGAACTATTTTATTATTGTTTGGCATTATGTTCTATTATTATTTCATCTTTATTATTAGGCACTGTTTCGTATTATTTTCGTACCTTACTATCTCCAAGTAGTCAGCGGTTTTACACATGAGAACAGCATGGCAGACATTGCGAATGATCAAGGGATAGACATCTTGACTTTGTAGGCCCAGAAAAAGCAAAATGTAGCTGAGTATGTAGAAGCAATTTATCCTCGAAGTATAAAACGATGGCAACTAACACTATTTCCGACTTAAGGCATGAAGTTACCTCCCGATTACAAGAGATTGTTGCTTGTGTTGGTGTGTCTCATGACAGTGACTTAGTGGAGGAGCTTGAAGAAATTCAAAAGCATGTGAATCTCCTTGATTCAGTGACAAGAATACCTGAAGAGTTGTTTAATTTGTTGAGTAGCGCACGATCACTTTTACAGCAGAATGAGGAAAGAGCAAGTGTTGTTCGTAGTGGTACTCCTGGTAGGCCAGCTTATGACATCAGGAAGGAACAACTTGAGATGCTTCTAAGAGCTAGATTTAGTGTCCGATCTATTGCAGACCTTTTGCACGTCAGTTCAAGGACCATAGAACGACGAATGCAAGAACATGGCCTCTCAGTACGTGCTTTATACACCGAAATGCAGGATAGTCAGTTGGATGACATAGTGAGGGATATAAAAAGAGGGAACCCAAGCTGTGGGTCAAAAATGTTGGCTGGGTACTTTGGTGCAAGGGGTATATTTCTGCCTAGACGTCGGATAAGGGAGTCACTTTCTAGGGTGGACCCTCTTGCAGTTGCTGCAAGACGCTGCAAAGCAATAAAACGGCGCGTGTATAATGTGAGCAGGCCACTTGGTCTCTGGCACTTTGATGGAAATCACAAACTTGTGAAGTGGCGTTTTGTTGTCCATGGCTGTGTGGATGGCTTCAGTCGAATCCCAGTTTTTTTATCATGCAGCACAAACAACAAAGCTGTTACTGTGTACTCACTTTTTATCAAAGCGGTACAAGACTGGGGATTGCCCTCAAGAGTCAGATGTGATCAGGGATCTGAAAATGTGGATGTTGTCAAATATATGTTGAGTACTCGAGGAACAGGGAGAGGCTCAGCTCTGGTTGGTAAAAGTGTGCACAATCAAAGAATTGAGCGAATGTGGCGGGACGTGTTTGAAGATGTTTTGGCAAATTTCTACGAGTTGTTTTCTCTGATGGAGGAACTGGGTATCTTTGACCCTTTATCTGAGTGTGATTTATGGTGCCTTCATTATGCATTCCTTCATCACATAAACTATCGTTTACATGAATGGTCTGCTGCCTGGCTGAGACATCCCTTGTCTACAGCCAACAACAACACACCTCTTCAACTTTGGATCAAAGGTTCACTGAATTCTGCAGAAAACAATACAGACCCGGTTGATGTTACTGATGAATATGGCATTGATTGGAATGGTCCTGTTCCCCTTGATGAGGACACTGTGGAAATTCCACCTACTTCTCAAGCTCTGACAGATGAGCAAGTTGCTGACCTTGAGTCAAGAACTGAGTTACTTCGAGAGTCTTCAATAACAGATGATAAAATTAAACTTTACAAACTTGCCAAGGAATTTCTTGAGCAGCATTAAGTTGAAGTAACAATCCACTCTGGAATGTTTAAATGAATGACTTCTTACTGATACCTGAATGTGTGTCTCAAACCAATGGCAGACATACATGCAAGAGAGGAGCCTAGGGTACCCAGCTTCACCTTTGATGTTCAATCAGTAATGATTATTTTGATGGTCTGTTGTATGCCCATAAATTATAGTTACTATATGACTTCAGCTCCATTAGAAAAATCACAAGTTTCTCCCACCCATTCATACATAATTTGTTCACACATGGTTGTTTACTCTGTCCTTAAGGCTGCATTCATTAAAAAGCAGGAGGGGGGAGGAAATTGTATAGAGTACTGTATTTTTAACATCCCCCCTGAAAACGGTACAAAATTACGCATCCCCCCTTACCTGCTTGGAAAAAATTTGTATCCCCCCCTAACAGCTTCATGTCAGGAAACTTGAGTCCCAACTTAATGTTAAAGCATGCTTTGTTCTTTCACTTTGTAATCAGTGGCGTATCTAGGGTCCCTCGTGTGGGGAAAATCTTTGGGCCTCCACCTTAACCTAAGGCCCAAAGGGCTGGAAAAAAATTTTGGGCCCTTCCTTATAAGCTGATATGGATGCACTTTGCAAAAATCACACTTAAAAATATTACCATTATTCTGTATATATTTGATGTCTAAAAAAATAAACATCCCCCTGAAAATTGCTCTGAGAATTAACATCCCCCTTCTGGAGTACAGAAAAAGGCTAGACATATCCCCCCTCATTTTCCTCCCCCCCCCCCCCCT